CGGCCATCAGCTGAAATTCAAAACAAACATCACATAACCCCACTTCGACTAGCAAACATTTTTTGAAGGCATTATAAGAAAGGAAAATCCTGAGTTAATCGCCACAACAATGTATTTCACTTGTGACAATATTGAATTCTTACCTGTGGATGCCATTATTTTATTCGGGAAAGGATTTTAATTTACCGTAAATTCAAGTTTCGTTTTGCGGACCGTGGAAACTAATGCGGGAACCGAAGAAACATCCTCTGTTCACTAGTTCTTATTTCCACACACAGAGTTCGCATGAGCTGTCATAGTTTTGCTGCAAGACGCCAATAGGAAATGATCGCTTCTAACGTACCGCACATTTAGGAGCGTTTACCCTACAATTAGAGATGAACCTGAACTAGCTGCCGGCTTAAATAAGATTCTAAGCATCTTTTTTTTTTCTTTTTTTATTATAGTCACTTTAACACTCTTGGGTCATTCGTGACTTGAGAGATGAGATTTAAACTCGTGACTTTGGCGTGAGAGGTATGGATGTTAACCACTACGCCGGGGTCGCCCCCGTCTAAGCATCTAAAAGTAGATTGTAAAAGAAGACGAACCAGCTAAGGGATGAAAGTCTCTATAATAAAGCAAAAGAATAAGAAGAAGATTGTTTTGGAAGCTAATTATAGACGCTTGCCCGTCGCTCCACTCCTCTGACTAAAAAAGAATACGACATAACAGTAAATCTACACAGTGTGTACACAGTAAAAGACCATTGTTATAAGGTTTAAGGAGCATTTCGCTACTGCCACAAAGTAATATATTTAGAAAAATATGACGTATGCTTGATTCGGTTTTTAAAGCACAGATAACTGCTTTCAGGGACGTCTTCTTTTTTTCTTTTTTTTTTCTTGGCATTTAAAACTTATTGTTTAACGCATATTAGCTTATTGCGTGCTCTCAACTTATTGTTCTAAATGCACTTCCACAGTTATTAATTGAGAGCTTTCGATGCTTGTATCATTTTGTATTAGTATATTTGTGTGGCTAGTACAGTCATACTATATGCCCAGGGAAGTCGAGAAATTTTCCAACCGAGAAACCAGCCACTATGTGGACCATAGGTCGCATGGACGCATGGTCTTGCTTTGTAGCTGCGCATTTATCTTCTTGTATCCATGACACTTAGAAATTATCGCCGACTTCAGTAATTCGAAATCTGAACAGTTGAACTTTTCGGTAAATTAAATTGCTTTTCAGCTGCTTTGAAACAAAATCTCCACTAAAATGAAAAGATTTGATCGTTAAACAAGGTTGAACATGTTTTGAAATTATTTTCAAATTCAATAGCCTTTAAAATGAAGGTCAAAGTTTTACCAAACGTTCAGCTGTTCTGATTTCGGTAAAATTTACCGAACACAAATACAAAATCATAGTGTGTACACACTAAGATTTGTTTACAAAATACTGTAATTTTTACCGAATATGGAACAGCTGAACATTCGGTAATTTTTTTGTTTTTCTTGAGCTGTCAAAATTTACCGAACGGACTTTAAATTTCGCTGAATGATTGTGAAGTTTGAAATACAGTACATTCGGTAATAATTACCAAACGTTTTGCTACAGCATTTTTATTGATTTTCTTTCATTTGTTTTTGTTTGTTCTTCAAGAAAAAAATCATTCATTTGAGCCGTAAAAAATGAGATAAAAAATCCTGTTTTTATTTAAAACAGCAAAAAAGGGATATCTTCTATTTAATTCCACTTAAATAATTTTGGTATCAATAACAGATACGTATTTCGACTACAATGTGCAGTCTTCATCAGTGTCATTCTCACTAAAGACTTATCAAAAACCTAACCCCCATCCCCTGGGTAAAAATGTCAAGATCACAGGCATAAAAATGAAACTACAATTTGTAGAATCGGAACCTACCTAACTAATAATAACCAAATTAGAGATTTTGCCCCTCTACGTGTCTCATAATCGGCGTGGGTTAGAAAAACAGGTGTAATTTATCAATGCATTTCAATGCTTACTGGAAAAAATGCATGTTAATTTAATGTACAAAAGTGGTGTCTAGTTCCTACATCGACAGCTGCTATATTTTATCTTATATTTATTGAGAAATTATGCACATAAACATACTTTTCTATACCAAAAATGCCGAAGAACAATCATTTTACATATTTGACAGTATAGAATTTTCAAAGCTGCTCGGTATTATTTACAGACATCTGGTTCCTTTTTTACCGTTTGTTTCGGTAAAATATTATGTTTACATTACATTCGCTATACTTGTTTACAGTATTGCGGAATGGTATAGTCATTTACAGATTCGTCCAGTATTTTTTTACAGTTTCCAGTAATTTTCTGTAAATTACGGTTATTCAGCATTTATAATTGCTGGAAATTGGTAAACAACAATATTTTACGAAACATTCAGCAAAAAAAGTACCGAAAATTATTTAAGAAATTTGGTGTGTGGGACTTGAACGATCGTCGGTAGTAGTATAATTATAATATAAGGGCGCACGGTAGCCTTAGAGCGTACGTTTTTGCTTACTAAGCAGAAGATCGTGGATTTTATCGAAGCCCCTTTACATTAATGAGTGTCGAACTAACAATCCTTTCCCTCCCCGTTGACCGTAAGGACCTAAGATTAAAGCAAACCCCACACGCATCAATATATTGACGCGAAGGGGAATTATTGACAATAATATTGATGATGTGAGTTCAGAAATATTGTCAATCTCGATGTATTGACGTCAATATAGAATGTATTGACAATACGATTATTGTCAATAAAAGCAATCGTGTAGGGTCCACTTAAGATCAGACAACTGGGTATAGATTTTGATCCAGTCGCTGATTGGTTGATTTTGAAGACTCTGAGTGTGTGCAAAACAATCATTGGGTTGGTCGTTTTCATGTTGGCCGTGTTGCTGGGTTGCGTTGTATCATTGTTATTTTTGCACGTAGTAAAGTTTTTACTTTAGGGGTTCAAGTAGAAACCAAACATAATTTGGTAAGCGATTTGTACTTTCGGAAAGCGGAGTACACCTTTCGTTACCGCAAGCACCATGAATGGACAGGTGTATGTGGAAGAGTGTCTCCAAAAGCGGCTTCTCCCTCTCATGAAGGCTCACGACGATCCGACGATCTTCTGGCTGGATTTGGCATCATGTCACTACATGAAGGACGTGCTAGAGTGGTATAAGGCGAATGATGTCGATTTCGTGCCGAGAGATCTGAACTCCCCAAACACTCCGGAATTGTGCCCAATAGAAAAATACTGTGCTAATATGAAGGAGCACCTTCTAAAACGACCTAAAGTGGTGAAGAATGTAGAAGAAATGAAGAAAGCATATGCAAAACACTGAGATCGTACAGAACCTTATGGGTGGGGTTCAGGTCAAAGTTCGCGCATTCGGATATAAAGGCAAAATAAATTAAATGAATGATGCCAAAATTAGCTTTAATAGTTACTTTTTACTCTCTGAAAATTTGGTGATAATCGGAAAAAACTCGAATTTTGAGAATGAGTTTTGTGTGTGCGGTCGAAAAAAATCTTTTCTGGCCTTAGTAAAAATATGCAGCAGTAAAACATTAATTTACTTGAAAGAATTTAATAATACATCCATTTGCATTGCATTTCACATCCTTGTGTGTTTTACGTGGAAGTCAAAATTTCAAATGAAATTGATTTAATTTTCAACGAACTACGATATTAACTTGCATGAGCGTGTAAATTTCGGCTTTAATTGAATTGAACTTCAGATCGTTAAACGTGTAATTTCATATTAAAAAATTGCTTCCTGTGGAAGATAAACACCCTTTTCAATAATCCTGGTCCTCAAAATAACATTTCGTTTTCCATGGCTAACATGATCTGATTCAATTTGTTCACTCTTTTACGGTTATTTTGAATGAATGTGCTGTTTCCTGTTGCTCAGTTTGAAAAAAGCTATTATTGAAAAAAAAATCGATTTTTTGGACCACCCTTACATGGAAATAGTCACCCTAATGACAAAATAAAAAATATGGGTCTAAAATGTTGCGCTAAGGAATAAAACTATAATTTTTTTTAAATTAATTCTGAGGACTACTATATTATTTTGCTATGGAATAGCTGTATACATATGTTTACTCTTAGAGGCTAATATATTATTAAATTCGAATCAGGAATTAATACACACCCTCAGTGCACTCAAGGGTGTTTTCATTGTCTTATTAGATTCGTTCCTACAGTGGACAAAAAAGTGACTAATCATGTGAACTGGAACAAATGCTCACATCTTCGTCTGCGGACATGAGCTCCACCAGTCTCAAAATCTGAAATTCAAATTTTAAACTTAACACCTTTAGAAAATGGATCAATCTGTCAGTAAAAACGTGTCTCTCCAACTTATGACTACCAACGATTGCTAAATAAGAACATCTCCTGTACAGACCTAATGACATTTTTAAATTATACTTTTCTGGACTGGTTTGGTTTTTTTTTCCATATAGCCATCTTATAAAAAGTGGCAGATCTCAATGTCCAATACATTGAACAAATTCTCGGAAAAAAAATATGCTGTTTTTTTCACTGCTGTAGTCAGTAAATCTGGGAAAATGTCATCTTTGCATGCAAAGGTGAATCGCAAGCTTAACACTTTCTTCCGGTCGTAATAAACCTTCATGCTACTTGCCTCAGGCTATGTTTCGAAACTTTATTTTACCCAAGTCATTCTCATCCAAAGGAAGTCGTATATGATGTCAATTTCGTTTGTCATAGCTGCACAAGGCTTGACCAACTCCTTCTCGAAACGTACATAAAGCGCAGCCGAGAGAAGTTTATCCCCTTCCAACCAGTCCAATGTGCCTATTATAGTTACTAACTGAATGGACCAGACCATGCACCCACCGATCACCGACTAGCAGCAGAGAGCGAATCAGCAGTAGAAACAACATAGTATACCATACCAACGATACTGGTAGCTTCGGGATTGCCTTTCATTGCTATAAATACGGGTGGTAATTTCATCCCCGAACACACTTTTGAACTAACTTTCATGGTGCCAACGTCGTCCTAGCGTTGTCAGATTTTGCCGTAGTTGCGGGTTTATTCCCAAATATCGGAGAATTTCACGGTTCACCGTCCTTAAAGGATTGTGCAACGGACACAACTCTTATTTCAATTTGAACTTTCGCGTGATTGTTCGTTGAATCTCGTTTTTTTAGTGGATTTCCTGTCATCTTTACATTACCAGTAAGTTCCGTAAGCTGTGCAACAGCAGAACAACACTTTGATTAATATTTATTAGAAAATTACACACCACTAAGTGAGCAGTGCCTAAATAGATTGTTGTGATTGTTGTGACTTTGCAGCGTAATAGCACATCATGAAGCCGTTTGCATTCGGAGTGGTCATCATTGCCGCCTTTTGCGTGGCCAACGTTTTCGGTGCCGATGAGCCAGCAAAGGATAACGATGAAGACACAGTCAAGATCTACAAGCGGCTCATCCCCGCCGATGTGCTAAGAGGTAAGTGTGGCAACAAACATTCAATTTACGAAACGTGGTGCAATATTTGAATAATGGATGCTAAATGCAAGTGGAAGTACCAATTACCAATATGAAGAAAATGGGTTTCCAATGAAGAAGCAGAAGGAATCTACATTGCAGGCAGTCATTGGTGTACGTACTTAATAGATGATTGTTAACACGCCCACTAGACTGGCGCGCGATGGCAGAGACAAGTAGACATTGCGTGGAAGCCTAAACAGTAGTGTGCTAATTTTACGTCTTTTTTCATTCTTTTGAGTCATGCTGCCACACTCAAACGTAGTGCAATGTGGAATGTACAAATTGCAGCTGATGCTGAAGTGTGTTTCATGCAATCAGTCATGCACGTAACTTGTGTCTACTGTGGACTGTGGGTACCATTCACAGCGAACAAGGTTTGGCGTTTTAGTCAGAGACAAACGCATAGGACTTATTAGTGTCACTCGTTTGAAGAGTTAGCCTTCGGAGCGTTCTCTGTTGTCTGTGGGTTGACGTTATTACATGGTAATCGTTATAAATTATCAAATCTGTCGAAGACAGCTTGAAAAAGAGTAGTGAGAGTGAGATAGAGACAACCAGAGCAACTTGCGCCTTGGCTGCAATCTTGGGTCGCAATCTCCGAGGCTCACCTCACGGTAGACTAAAGAAACCGGTTACATAGTTTTCTAGATCATTCCATTCAGTGAGGTTGAGAAACAAAGTGTTCAATATCGGGCCAGGCTCGATCAGATCAACTCCTAGTTTTTTTTTTGCTGTACATTCAATACTAGGAGGGCCGTATGTTGAGTATTTTCATATACTTTGTATATTCAGACACTTACGTGTCAGCTTGTAAATTAACGTAAACCGTCACTGCCATTTCCTTAGCAGATGTTGGCTATTTGGGAATATAGATCAAAAGTTTATTCTACTAGCCTAAATTTATCAAATTCATTAAATTTATTTAGTTAAAAATTAATACTATTTTACTTGCTTATCACTTTAGTTTCACTATTACAATCTTGTTACAATATATACATATTAAGGAGAACAATGAGCACCATCTCCAAGCCCACGTTTAGACGGCGTAAATTAAGCTGGTAAAGCAGTCGATTTTTTCAACAAGTATTTTGTCAATGATGAAAAATTAATACTATTTATCTGTAATATTCACAAATATTTGGGATTAACCGATGAAACAATCATTCAAAAAAGTTAGTATTTTAATATTGAAGGGACCATCGAGATATAGAACATGAATAGCCTACTAGACCGTTTGGAGGGACCGGGATAATTATCGACTTATAGAAATATGTGCTAACATACCAAAATATAGAACATCGAGATATGAAGAGTTGACTATACAAGCATAGAACATTTGCATCTTCCACAATGTTCCAATGTATGCTGGGAAAAGTACCCAAGTAACCGTAGGCACGTTATTTCGCCTTTTTGGCTATATACAGCTGAACAACGGTTATACCAGTGTTTGTAATTTCTGATGAAGCCCGAATATAGCCAAAAACGAGAAATAACGTGCCTATGGTTACTTGGATAACTTAATCGCTAATTTAATGTTTCATATTTTTGGAACTATTTTCATTGCCATTTTCCGTGACACTATAAATGTCAATTTTTTGTATTTTTTTTTTCACACTTTGTACTGGAATTTTTTTTTTTCAAAACTTTATGATAATGTAGAAACTAGACATACTTTATCATTATAAATTAGTTTCTCGCATTCTCATATAATATAATGGGGCTCCACGAAGTTCTACTGGTTCACTAGATTAGCAAGGATATCGTAGAATACCTTGCACAATACCAACCACAAGCATTTTGAAGAAACTAAGATAGTTTTTTAATATAACTTATGTCCCAAATTATGTGGTGAGGTACAACAAAGCTATAATAAATCAGGACATCACACAAGACCTTGATGGAAATGTAGAACATCAAGATCTAAGCTCCAACATAATTTGGAGGACTCAAAATACATTGTCATTTCAACTATATATCATACATGATAAATATAATGGTGAGCCACGAAGGTTTACCCGTTCTAAAATTTAGTCGAGTCATCGCAGAATACCTATTTTTTAACATGATTATACATCTCAAATACTGGTATGAGACAAAAGCTTCACAAATTCAGGGTGAACAAAATTTCTATGGACTCCAGGACAATGTGGAGAATCATAGATATTTTGATAACACATAGTCTGATCAGAAAAGACACGATATTACCAGTTTAGAACATCTTTCGGGTTCTCGACTTCCATGGGCATAGAGTATCATTGTGCTTGCCACACAATATACAAATTCAAAACGCTCGCTACAGAAGCGTAAATGCCTAGAAGAAGAAGAAAAGTTGAAACATTTGATCAAGACCTTTTGGAACCTGTAGAACTTCAAGGCCTTAACTACAGGATGATTCGGAGAACTTTTAATACTGCGTTTCTTCTGCTGCTATAGATTGTAGATCAACTTCCAGATGATTTTTTTTTTTCAAACAAACTATAAGTGTTTCAAATCTCTTATAAGGTCTACGAGACTGCGAATTGATGTTCCTAAAAATTTGAAACAAATTCTTGTAGAAAACCATTCAAGTCATCTCAGAGGTGGTAATAAAAGCAATTAGTCAAAACGATTAACACCGCCATATATATCACATATTTAAAAGAGCTAAAAATAGAACTAATGTTTATTTGTTTTCCATTTATAGAGGAAATTATTACTTTGTTAATACCTTCACCTATTAAAGTGAGGGAGGGGGAGTAAATGAAAGCCTTGAGCGCTCATTTGTTACATCAGGGTGATTCATACGTCAGATCATCATTTAGTCGAAATTGAGCGCTCACGACCTTGATTTACCCCTGACGATAATAGGTAGAAGAATTAACGAACTTTAAAATACTATATCAATCAATTCATTCGTTCCAATCCATTTGACGATGTGATTCATTGCAGCTCCAACATCTGAAGCAAGCTATGACGGGAGAACCAGTCGATTTATTGTATACGCGAGTTATAGTACCGAAAGAATACCTAAATTGCCATCCGACCAAGGCACAGTTTATATCTACTCGCCTTTGCCAGATCTGTTCGTATCCATTTTGCATTCGCCTGAACGGTTCATATCACGTATCTGTAAATTACTTACGTAAACTTTGCGATATACATGGGTGACATCAGAAATCGATGTATCTTTTTCGCTTGATACCTAAGGTTCGTGAAAGATGTGCTAATCAGTTAGTCACAGTCAATGGTTTTGAAAATATTTGTATGTCAACTTTTAATTCCTATACGACAAAAGGATATGAGTGTGGCTTATTACGAAGATGTATATCACTCAAATCTTGTTGTTTGAGCTCCCGTTGGTTTGGCTACAGCCCAACTAAAATTAAGGCAAATGAAGACTTCAAATCAAAATCTCAACAGCTAGTAATACTGAATCTACATAGAAACATTAATATTTCAGTTTCACTAACGAGCGCTTTCACTACTTGTGCTACGTATAAGAAATCCAACCAGCGAAATTCAACAGTCATAAAGTTCCAGTTAGGGCGTGATGTCATGAAGCAGAAATATGAGACAAAATCGAAGAATATTTTATGAGAAAAGATATCAGTGCCAATAATCAACGCTACACGTCAATAGCTGAAGCTACATCCCGAGCAAAGTCGGTTAACAAAATGAAGGCAAATCGATATTCAAGTAATACATAATAAACATAATGAAAACTTATTTGGAAAAATCCGTTGGATTCAACATTGTAAAATGTTGCTATCTATTTGAAACAACCGTCAACTCAACCAAGATGAGATCAAAGGGAGTAATCAACCCGAGCAGGAACCGATAGCTAATCGATAACAAATGAATATCTTAATGTGGTATTATACCAGATTTTGGTATGCTTGTGGTATAAAACCTTGTTTTGATATTATTCAGTTATCGAAATATGTTGTAAAATATCAAATGAATACCAAAATAACAAAATGTGATCGTTCAGTTTTTAGGCAATAACACCTAAAAGAGTTATAGGATTGATAAGACCTTCAAAATAATAAACTATGGTATTCTGGCATCTAAAAAAGCGTCTGTTATCCGTTTGTTATTGTAATAACTAAATTATTTATTAGTTCGTTATTCGTAGAATATTTTTGAGGTATTATTTTTGTTATTTTACCTCTTATGTCAGCCTCACTAATACCATATTTAGGTTGCCAGTTATGCTATTTGCATACCTGAATTTGGTATTAATAAGTTAGTTTTTCCTGCTCGGGAAAATTTCTATCATCAAAACAGCAAATTATGTTTTCAATTTAATCTCTTACTTTGTTCGGGATGCCTTACCATATAGAATTGATGAGCTTTTCCCTTTTCGCATGCATATTCTCGAAGCGCTGTAGGTCCAGCCGGAAATATTCTGGTCATCAGACCGTAAATTTGCGTTTTTATTGTTATAGTTTGTAGCTGTTTTATATGAATGTAGATATAGCGGGGCTTCTAGCAGCGCTTTGAAGTATGCTTCGCATGTCCGTGTTTTACTTTTTCTTGTTCCCGATATGTAGATTTAAATGTGACATCAGTTAGCACGACTGACGCATATCGTACGCAAATGATCGACGCTACATTGCGAATCAAATGTTTTGCGACACCTATACCGTTTTACTTTGTTAATGTGTGTTCACTATACACCGAACCGTGCTAGGGATTTGCTCATCTATCTTGTAAGTGATTTAAGATACATTGGATCTAGAGATCTTTATAATTGTTGGGTTTTTGTTTTTCATGAGTTCAAAATTTCATATTTTTTTAAATAGGGGAAATGGCAGATTCGGCACTTTTTTGCCTATCATCATCAGGGTCAGGGGATGAACGACGTCTTAATGATGCTGTGGAATATGATTTATTTATTTATTTATTTATTTCGTCAAGCAAAAGTAGACTATATTACAATGTTTTACTTACCTACTATGCATTATTTCTATTTCTTC